AAAAAAAAAAAAAAAAAAAAAAAAAAAAAAAAAGAAATCATGTACCCATTCATAGTTACTCTTTGTATAATTAGTTTACCATACCTAATAATGTATGTAACTTTGTATAACTGACTATAAAATATGATAAAAGTAAGTACTATGCAATTTCCAAAATTATTCAGCCTCTAGGTTTGTTTGTTTTGAAGGCTTGATAATTTTGAACATGGACATTTTCTTTGATGATATTTCCCTATTTGGACACCAAAATTATTTAATAGAAGAAAGAGTGGTGAGAATAATCTGAGTAGGAGGGGATGCTTTTGGGAACGAGTTTTAAAATTTCAAATGAATTCATGAACGGAAGAAAGTCATTGAATATAAAATTACAAATTTATTTAAAGATTTCAGTTCAAATAATAGGGAAATTTATAAAGTCATTCAAATAAGACTAAGATTTTATATAATAATATTTTGGAAAGATTAAATAATTTGTCATTCTTTAATTTCCTTTATTTTAGCTTCGCAGAATCAAGAACGGCTATGTGCATTTAAAGATCCATATCAGCAAGACCTTGGGATAGGTGAGAGTCGAATCTCTCATGAAAATGGAACAATATTATGCTCAAAAGGTAGCACCTGCTATGGCCTTTGGGAGAAATCAAAAGGGGACATCAATCTTGTAAAACAAGGCAAGTGATACTTTCCTTACCTAAAATGACTTTATGTTTTATACAATTGATGTTTATCTAAAATTGACATGGGAGTACATTAAAATCCTGTTAAGAAAAACAGTGAATTTAAAAGTGTATATATAAGGCCAGGCACAGTGGCTTATGCCTGTAATCCCAGCACCTTGGGAGGCAGAGGTGGGCAGTGGCTAACATGGTGAAACCTTGTCTCTATTAAATACAAAAATTAGTGCACCTATGGTCCCAGCTACTCGGGAGGCTGAGGCAGCAGAATGACCGAACCTGGAAGGCAGAGGTTGCAGTGATCTGAGATGGCACTACTGCACTCCGGCTTGGGCAGAAAAGCGAGACTCCATCTCAAAACAGACAAAAAAAAGTGTATATTTATATATTTATCCACAAGGGCCAAATTTATGAAAGGCTATTTATTTTTAGATTATTTTAAAAACAGCTTTCTTCTTAAAATGTTATACATGCCCATTCTGTGAATTGTGGAATATATAGAAAACTATAAAGAAAACAAAGACTACAATAATATACTCTTTAAAAAATATTTTTACTGGCCGGGCGTGGTGGCTCACACCTGTAATCCCAGCACTTTGGGAGGCTGAGGTGGACGGATCACGAGGTCAAGAGATAGAGACCATCCTGGCCAACATAGTGAAACCCTGTCTCTACTAAAAATACAAAAATTAGCTGGACGTGGTGGCATGCGCCTGTAAACCCAGCTACCCAGGAGGCTGAGATGAAAGAATTGCTTGAACCCAGAGGTGGAGTTTGCAGTGAGTCGAGATTGCACCACTGCTCTCCAACCTGGCGAGTGAGCAAGACTCCACCTCAAAAAATATATATATTTTTACTGTATTAGTTTGTCTTCTTCAGGTGTATTTTTTATGTGCCTTTATGTTATTATGTGTGTGTACTTTTTAAAAAAATTAGGAATGTATTGGATAAACAATTTCATACCCATTTTTTCCACCTTAATTATAAGCATTTGTTCCATGTCTTTACAGAATCTCTGAAAACCTTTTTAACTTCTGCACAACATATCATTGTACACTTTTACTTACAGATTATTCTATTGGTAGACATTATGTTATTTTCATGTTTTCACTGTAATGCATAGTGAAACACAGTTGTTCAGTGAACAACTTTGAATATAATTCTTTGTATATGATTGTTTCCTTGAAAGACATCCCTTGATGTAGAATTATTAGGCTATAAAATATATGCATATTTTATTTATTTATTTATTTTTTTGAGATGGAGTTTCGCTCTTGTTACCCAGGCTGGAGTGCAATGGTGCGATCTTGGCTCACCGCAACCTCTGCCCCCTGAGTTCAGGCAATTCTCCTGCCTCAGCCTTCTGAGTAGCTAGGATTACAGGCATGCGCCAACATGCCCAGCTAATTTTTTTGTATTTTTAGTAGAGACGGGGTTTCACCACGTTGACCAGGATAGTCTCGATCTCTTGACCTCGTGATCCACCCGCCTCGGCCTCCCAAAGTGCTGGGATTACAGGCGTGAGCTACTGCGCCCGGCTGAATATTTTAAAAATTGTAAAAAAGTTTCCATGTGGCTTTCTAAAAGTACCATTCATTTATATGCCCTCTAACACTGTATGCATGTGTCTGTGTTACTGAGTCCTTTTTCTTATATATATTATTTATGTATTTGTTATTTTATTTTTGAGACAGTGACACTCTGTTGCTCAGGGTGGAGTGCAGTGGCACATTCATGGTTCACTGAAACCTTGACCTCTTGGGCTCAGGCAATCCTCCCAAGTTGGTAGGACCACAGGCAAGCACCACCATGCCCAGCTAACTTTTAAATGTTTGTAGAGATGTGGTATTCCTATGTTGCCCAGGCTGGTCTCAAATTCCTGGACTTAAGTGATCCTCTTGCTTTGGCTTCCCAAAGTGCTGGAATTCTATGTGTGAGCCACTGTGCCCAGCCATATTATTTTTTAAACCTAGAACAATTTACTTGGTATAGACAAAAATGAAGCCTTACTCTTGCTTTAATAATTCTTAGATTAATCATGCAGTTAAACATTTTTTTGGTGGCCTTTTTCTTCCCATGAAATGTCTTTTGTACATTTTTCTGTTTCTTAAAAATGTTTCCTGTTGATTTGCAAAACTGTTTCCTAGCTTTTTTTTTTTTGAGACGGAGTT